ACACAGAGTGAAATCACGGTTTTATTGGCTGTGATTCCAGCGGGAGACGCGCGGTGGCCCCCGACATGCAGGAGGGCGCGGCCAGGACGGACGGACAGACGGCCACGGGCGGCGCGGGCATGCTCCGCGCGGGGCGGCTATTGCAGGCTAGTCGTATGGCTTCTCTGCAGAGCAGGGGCCCGCGGCGGGGGCACGACGGGGTGGACAGGGGCTCTGTCCAGCCAGAACCCGGGAATACAGAAGACCTCGTTTACCTGAGATTCAGCACATTGGGACGCAGGTGACCCCGATGGAGGGCGCGGGGGGCGCAGGCCGGGCTCCCGGGACACGAGCCCCGCCTCCAGGCCCCCGACGCTGGCGCTGGGGCCAGTCGCTCAGGCCTCCCCAGCTCTTGTGAAAAGTGGGTGTTTAGAGGCAAGGGCAGGCACCCCCAGAGCATCTTCCGGGCGGGACAGGACAGGGGAGCGGGCTGGCGAACAGACTGGGGGGCGGGGCTGTGATGGGGTGTCTGGGACCCCAGCCTATTGCTTGTCTGCCCCCACACTCCTCAGACCCGAGCCCCAGGGAGCGGCGTGCAGCAGGGGAGGTGGGGCAGGTGGGGGGCAGCAGGCGCCCTGGAAGCCGTGGTAGCTACCGGGCACGGGGGGGCCCAGGCTGGCCGGGGGCGGGGGGAGTGCCAGGCAGCGGCTGCTGCCACTCCCAGCCCCTGCCCCAGCCCCCCACTATGGCTGTGCCCCTGGACTCGGCAGCCCTGCCCACCACGCAGGGACGCGCACCGGGGGGGTCGGGCTGGCCCTTCGGGTGGCCCTGGCCTCGGGCGCCGCTGGGTGGGCGGTGAGCGTGGGAGCAGTGAGGGGCGTCCCGGGCTCCCGGAGGGTCCGGCCGCCCGCGGCTAAAGCAGCAGGCGGGGGATCCCCAGCCGCGTCCAGCAGGAGCGCAGCAGGACAGTGCAGGAGGGGCGGGGGCTCCTGAGGCTGGGGGCACACCTAGGGCTATGGCTTATATCGCGGGGCGACCCTGCGCTGACCTCCCTCAGGGCCTCCGGGGGTGGGGCGGGCGAGGGGGGGGGTCCTTCCCGCGTGGGGGTTACTTCTTGAACATGTCCTGCAGCGGCCCGGGCAGGTACTTGATGACTGTGTCCAGGATGCTCTCGTCCTCCTCCTCCGGCTCGTCCCCGCAGCCGGGCGGGATGGCCTTCTTGGGCCGGGTCAGGCTGCCCTCCGAGTTGGCCTCCATGGCGGCCTGGGCCTCGGCCTCGCGCTCCTCCTTCTTCTTGATGCCGTACTGGGGAGGGCGGGGTCGGGGCTGGGTCAGGGCGGGCAGCACCCGGGGCAGAGGGGTGGCCCCTGAGGGAGCTGAGGCAAGGTGGGCCTGCCTGGAGCTGCGGGAGGGGAAGCAGGGCGAGGAAGGACGACTGCGGGGCCTGAGCGCTGGGCACAGGCCCAGGTGACGCCGGCATCGCCCGCAGGAGCAGCCCCCCCGCACTGCAGGTCCCCACCCCACCCCACATCCTAGAGCCCCTCTCCTGGCCAAAGCCACTGCCCCCAACCCCCGGGGCTGGGCAGAGAAGGGATGCCGCCTGCACCACAGAGGGGGCGGCAGGCATGTGCGTGGAGGAGACGGCAGGAAATGGGTGTCCTGCTGTCCACGCGCGGGGTGCACCACCCGCGGTGGGCGCGGCGGGACAGGTACAGCGCTCTCCTCGCCCAGCCACTAGAGGGCGCGCCGAGCTCGCCGGTGGGGGCGGGGGCGCTCTGCCTACACCCCAGCCCCTGCGCCTGCCGCCTCCCTGTAGGTGCTCCCCACTGGAGCCCCTGGGAACCTGGCGCCGTCTGCTCTGGGATCCACAGAGAGTGCAGGGCCACATTCTGGAGGCCGCAGTGGCCCCCGCCGAGGCCCCGTCCTGCAGAGCGGCCACTCGGCAGGTGTGGGCACACCCAGCACGACCTGCCCTCGGCGCACGCCCGGGGCCATGGGCTGGACGCGCCTGCAGGGCCCCCAGCCTCTCCGTGGGCCCCCAGCGGGTGCAGCGAGGAGACTGGCTCACCGCGCCGGCGGTGGGGGGCAGGGGCCCCTGTTCAGCCGCGAACCAAGGCGCCAGCTGACGCCTGCACCTGGACGGCCGCGTCCTTTTGCCAGAGGAGGCCGGCGCGCGGGCCCCAGCGGCCGGCAGGGGCGGGCG